GTTGTTGTTGTTGTTGTTGTCGAATGTATGAGATGTGATAGGCTTAATGTCTTTCTAGGTTTTGGTTAAATGTAATTTGAACAGTTTCTTTTAGACAACTAAGAAGGGTCCTCTAATAAACCCTCGCCCTCGTTATCTCTCTGTTTCTCTTCCCTTCCTATAAACGTACACGAATATACAAAGAACTATAATACCCGGGATATGGAAACGTTTTATTTATTGGTTGGTCTATTTTTATTTTTTTAGTTCACTGTTACTTTTTTTTTTTTACTGATTTATTTATTTATTTATTCATTTATTATTTGCTTTTTTTTTTTTTTTTTTTTTTTTTTTTTTTTTTGCTTTCTTTTCTAGGGACTAGAAAAAAAGGGGAAAAACAACAACAAAAGAGGGAAATCCGCTATTTCTTCCATTCATATGAATGGAGATAGAGTGCAAGGTTTTACCTCCTCCTAATAAACAGGTGGTTTATCATGGCCCTTTATCGCGTTTTTCGAGGGTATCGGGTAGATTTACTTCTTTTAATGCTTTTCTCTACAGAGAGACAAACACATCCGAGAGCAACCAAGCTTCACTAGGGACACTTTATTTTATTGATAATAATGGTGATCCATTCTCCTGTATTATTTTTGAATTAGGTATTAGTGTGAAGGATAGTTCAAAAGGTCCAAATGCTTTCTCCATCTCTGGGAAGACTGGTAGTAAAATAATATTGCAGGCTCCTTCTTCTGCTTCCAAAGCAGAGTGGGTACGTCATATTACGGGATTAATACAAGGGGATTCTTCTTTAATTTCTTCTTCTGTTGTTGATTCTGTTACTGAAGCAACGAAAACTTATCCACATCCTACTTTTACTTCGACAAACAATCAACCCGTATTACCTTCTGGTTCAATTGAAAGAGAAACATCTACAAGTAGAGATCCTTTACCAATAATAAAAGGAATTCTATTAAAGAAGGGTGGTCTTACTGGTCATTACGTTAGACGATGGTTTGAACTTGTTCAAGATATTGGTTTACTCTATTCATTATACGGAGATTCTCCACGGGACACATTTCAACGAGTACCTTTGCAAGGTTTATCCATTTTTTTTTCAGAAGAGAAACGTCAAATTATTATTCCTCCATCTGGGTCCCGTACAAAATTAATGATTTTAAAGTGTCCACATAAAGAAGAATTTGCTCAGTGGCGTGAGGCCATCCAATTGGAGAGCTCAAGATGTACCTCTACAATAAGGCGTAATGAAATGAAAGAATCTGAAACTGTAGAAAACTGTATAGATGATCAAACAAGTAGAGAGAAAAGAAGAAGTAGTAGTCTAACATGTATTGATGCTAAGGATGATACCCCTCTTACCTCTTCTATGATGGCTAAAGATTCTTCACCTGTATCAACCGAATCTGCATTTGATATGACATTATTTGGAGTTGGATCTGGGGTAGATACAAATATCATAACTCTCACAAAAAGGGAAATGTTAGAACTAGAAGACCTTCAGAGTGATATACCATGTATGGGTACACTTAACACCGAAGAATTTTTACAATCTATTGAAGAAACATACAAGCCTATGAAAAATACACCTGGTATTGAATTAGAGTTGCAACGATATTATGCAGAATGTCTTCCTTATGGGTTAGAGGCTACACTTAAACGATTACAACAACGTTTCACCTTACCAATTAAGGAACCGTATGATGCTGTAAATGAGCATATTGTTCTACTAGACTTGGATGTTGAACGTGTTCGAGAGTGTCTTAGAAATACGCTTTCTTTATATGGTGATGAAATAGCTATATGGAATGTTGTAAGGGAAATGGACTATATTATACGTGTTTATACCTATGTTCGTGAAAAACTTCTTATTCGTTTGGGTATTGCTGCTTTTCGTGAGCAAACAGACCGTACTGGATTATCTCTTGGTGTTAATGGTACCATAGATGCTTTGGATACGTTTCTTTTTTCTGATAGTCCTTCTTCAGCTATTTATGATAAAGTTGTAGATATGTGGAAAGGATTTTTTAACGCTTTACAACATTTTCGATTGGATTTTGATGTCTTTGATGAGAGTGAGGAAACGATCGTAGCCATGGAAGATGCTCTTAACAAATTGTACGATTGGTTACGACGAAACTCTCAAGAAGAAGAAGAGGAAGAAAATAGAGAGGAAGATTTGCGTTGATGATGATGATGATGATGATAATAATAATGAAGGGATTTTATTCCATTTCTCTGTTTTTCCTTCCTCCTTTTTTTCTATAATATTATCGTATTTTCATTGTTTATTTTTTTATATATATATTAGCTGTATTATTTTAACTGATGACTCTATTATTCATAACTACAAAAAAAAAAAAGGTGGGGAGTGAGTATTTGTGTATTTGTACAGTGCTTAAATATGAGTAGTTACTTGTTTTACTCTGTATGTAATGTGAGTATGTGTTGTTGATTTAATTGGAAATCTTCTTGTTCTCTTCTGTATTTTCTCTCTCTCTCTCTCTCTCTCTCTCTCTCTTCCATAGGAAATAGAGGCGGAAATAAACTGTACGAAGAAGAAAAAACTTAAGGAAAGGGAGTGGAAAGATAGCGAAGAATAGTCAAGAAAAAAAAAAAAGAAACGGGTTTTATTTTTATTAATTTGTTATTTCTGTGTTTTAGGTGCTTTTATTTCTGTTTTATTGATTCTCTACCCTTTATTGCGATTTTATTTAATTCATGAACGGATGGAACAATCAGAACCGGAGAGAGGCATGCCGAGCTTATGGCGATCCACTACGATCACGAGAAGTCCATGAACTCAAAATGGAGGACTTTAATCTTGACATACGCGAGAACAGTGCTCTTCGTAACCGTTCACTTGTGCTTTCCACCCTTGCTGGTCTTATATCTGCCGCTGGAGTACTTGGTGATGTTTATTGTTTTCCCGTTAGTGATGGTAGCAGCCAGGCTCTTGCGGTGTTCGCAAAACAAATGCTCATACGAGCTATTCTTGGCGGAGTTGCCGTTGGCTACACCACGTGCTGCGCCCTCGTGTTTGAGCGCGTTGTGTATGATATTGAGTTAAGCCGTGAGTTGTGGGAGATTGACAATCACCTCACCGGGGAGATCCAGGAGATGGTGGCCATCTACCGGGCGCAGGGCTTCTCCGAGGACGACGCCCTCATCATCACGCGGGTGTTCGCCAAGCACAAGGTGGCCTTCGCGAATCTCATGATGGTGGAGGAACTCGGCTACTCCCGCCTGGAGCCGCCAAGCGGGCGGGAGGCGGTCGTGGACGCGGCCATACCGGCGGCCATCGGCTACGCGGCCGGCTGGATCCTCCCGCTCCTCCCACTCGCCCTCCCCGGCCTCAGCCGCAGGCACCCCAACATCCGTGGCAGCCACACCGCAGTGGCAGCCGTCCCCATCACCGGCCACACACTCGCCATCTCCACACTCGCCGCCGCGGCCATCGCCGTTAGTGTGGCGCAGTCAGAGGTCTTCTACGGGGGATACACCAGCACCAGAAAGGCACTCAAGGTGATTCTGTGGAACTTGACCGCAGCAGGGGCTGTCTACGGCCTCTCACGCGTCGTGACATCCTTCGCCCAACGAAGAGGATAAAGGGAAATATTAGGGGTGTAAATTAGAACAAAAAAAAGGATCGAACGAAGAATGGGAGGAAAAAAAAAAAAAAAAAGAAAAAAGGAAGTGGGGGAAGGGAAAGGTGAAAGCGAGGTATGATATATATGTATATGTATATACATATACAGGAGGGGCGACATGTGTCTCTACGAAGTAGAGATACTCCGAGAAAAAAAGAAAAAAAAAAGAGGAAAGAATTGAATTCTTGAGTGAGTGGAATGTACGAATAAGAGGGCGATCAAAATAAAAAAGAAGGGAGTACAATGAGTGACTCCACCGCATTTGTGGATTACTGTCTCTATATATAACTGCATTTTTGCGCGGAAGAAAAAAGTACATATGCATCCATATATATATATATATATATATATATATTACTGTTCTGCCTCTAATAAAAACCTCTCAGAGGACATTAGTGCTGCCTGTTTTTTTTTTATGTTGTTGTTGTTGTTGTTGTTGTTGTTGCATTTACAGAAGATAAGAATGTGAAAATAGTAATAACGAAAGAAAATAACTTGTGAAAACTATATCACAGTTGCTTGAATATTTGTAAACTGCTTCCTTTCTTTTTTATTGACTCTACCTTGTAGTTAGTTGAATTTCATTTACATTTGTTTTCTGTTATACCGCTACAAGGACATTTATATATATTTATATATATTTATATATATTGTTCTTGTTGCCATTGACTGCCATGTCCTATCATACTATTCAAGCTAATATTGGGTCTCGACTCACCGCAGTTGTAGCATTGCTTCTGTGCTTCGGCACTGTGTTACAACTCTGGGGAATATCAATAGCGGAGGCTAAAGGAGTGCATGTCACAGTAGCAGCACCATGGACAGAAACCCCATTCCTCCAGGAAGGCTGTGAGTGGGCGGCAGTTCGTGAGAGTAATCGTGATGGATTTTATGAATGCCTTCAAGATGTATGGCATCACGTTGGGGCTCTAAATAATAATAATAATAATCATAATAATAATAATAATAGTATTAGTAGTATTGCTGGTGGAGCACTTACACTTACCCAAAAATCTCAATATGAAATGTTATTTGATATAATGGAACGTAAGAACCGTTCATCGTATCAAATGGCACTTCTTAAAATGAAACTTGCAGCGCGAGTGTACTCTCCTGCGGTAGAAGCTCACTGGGCATTAGCACGAATTGCCATGCGTCTTGCAGATGGATGTTCAATAGAAGGTAAACCCTTTGTAATGATATTTGGTAATGCCATTTGCAATGAACATACTTTGGAAAAAATGTTAAAAGATCTTTCTCTAAGTTATTCAAAGGACACCAATAAAAGAGAAAATAATAAAGAAGTAGAGAAGGAAACAATGATGTTATTTCCCAAGCTAGATCACATTCATCCAGAATCAAAAGGTCAACATGTTGTGATCCTCTACGGACTTGTTGGAGAACAACAAACCATGCGATTATTTAAAATTATACAATCTTATTTACATATTGTACGCTTCGCCTTTCGTCATCTTCCAGTCACTGGAGGGATGTGGGAAAATCCCCTTTTTGTTCAAGGTTATGGAGTCACCGTAGATTTAAAGAATGTTGAATACAAAGTAATGGATAAGAAGAGTAGTGAAACGGAGACTGAACAGCAGGAAAATAAATCAGAAGGGGAAGGAAGAGATATAGAACCTGTTGGTGGATTTGATCTAAATATATTAAAACGACGATACCCTAATTTAACTAAACAGTTAAACAGCTTTGGAGATTATCTTGCTGAAATGATTGACAGAGAAGAAGTTAAGGTGGATTTCCACATGTGGGAAACACAACACATGGGAGGTGCGGCAGTGAAACAAGTAATGAACGCAGCAAAGGAAGAACGGTTGAATGTATTATTAAATATACTCACAAACTTTCCACTACACGCATCGAAATTATCCAAAATGGGTTCCGCAACAGGTGGAGCGATTGATGGTGAAATGCAACAAGTGATGATGCAGTTACTCTCTCTAGTGCAAGCTGGTAGTTCACTTGCTTTCCTTAATGGACAACGTATTAATACTCCAGAGATGGATCTCTTTTCTATATTAGAAAAAATAGAAGCGGAGGATAAACTATTGGAATCACTAACACAAATTCTTACAAGCTATCATTTACCTTCTCCCGAAACTGATAATGGGTTTCTTTCTGTTGAATCTACAAAGATGACGGGATTACTTAATGATATTACAGAAACCGTACAGAATCGTATTGCTTTAAAAGGATTAGATTTAAAAAGAGCGACAACACGTATTTGGTTTCCACAAAAATCTATTTTATGGATTAACGATATTGAAAAGGATTCAAATTATGAACATTTATCACTTGACCTTAATACTATTTTTGAAACGAGCTATTCTGGTATTCCACAAATTCCAAAAAGGAATCTTCTTAATATTGTAGGTATTGTAGATCCAACCACACCAGAGGGTCATCAGGCTATCATTACATTAATGAAAATAGTAGCTCAAGGACAACCACTACGTGCGGGAATTGTAATTGTGAATCCACATTGGCTTCCAGAGATTCATGTATCTATAGATAAGAAGGAAGATGATGTGGAAATCCCAGAAAAATCTTCCCCTTCGAAAGCTATTATGATGATTGCAGCAACTTTGTGGGAATTATTAAGGGAAAATACAGGCAATGCACGAGAAGCGATACAGTTTATGGTGTATTTAAGAGAATATGTTATCAATGGTCAAACTATTAGTGATTCGGATATAAACGTAGTAGCAGAAAGTATTCTTTCAATGGCAAATAAACGTTCATTACTTGAAATTATGGGTGATAAAGATTTTAACAAATACTATCATGAAACTCAAGAAACAATTTATAATCTACATTTCAAAGAATTTCCAACTATTTTAATAAATGGAAATATGTTTTCAGGAGATGTTCTCGCAGCTCTTGAGAAAGGTTTAATGATGGAATTAAGTCATATTCGTGATTTGGTAGGAGAAGAAAAAATTAAAAATACTGATGTAGATATGTATGAATCTATCATGGAATCTAGTGGAGCCATACATCGTTATTTTCGAGATCTTTATGAAGATCAAGTATACGTTAATTGGGCATCTAAATCAATAATAGATTTTCTACAATATCGTTCATTTTTATTCCCTTTATCGAATACAAAGGAAGTACCCTTGTTGAGTACTGTGTTAAGGGTTCAGGCACCACTCAAATCACGAGATCTTCAAGCTATCTTAAAAATCACAGAAGAATTGTATGAATGTAAAGATAGAAGTGAGAAATGCCGTTTTATTCGCCATACCTTTGCGATTTGTGGTATGTTAAAAGATAATAAACGACGTACTTTAGCAGTAGACTTGGAACGATTATTAATAAATGAAAATATTAATGGTAATAATAAAGATGGATCACGTCGATTGGAATTTATGCGAGAGTTCCTTCTTAAAGTAATACCGAAAAGTGATAAAATAGATATGAATAATCCAGATGTTTATGAGAAATTTTTGTCAACTGTACATTTCTCTTCTGATATGGAAAAAGTACTTGCAAATACTTCTCCCAAATCAGATATACTATTAAAAGAAGAAGAACAAGAAAAACTTGTAGATGGATTTTGTAAAGATATGAGGAATTCACATACATTATTAACAGGTGAAGTAGAAGATATAAAATCTATATATTATTATGTCAATGGTCGCCGTTTTACTTATAGTGATGATTATACTCTTAAAGACCTTGAAGATGCCGCTCTTCGTGAGCTTTCCTTTGCAGAGATTGTAGGAGAAGTAATAAAAGATATTCATTTTGAAAAAATACATACGTATCTACAAAAAAATAAACCAAATAATGCATTTTATGCATCCAAGATAAGTGCTGTATCTGCACTATTAAAAGAATATTATATTCGAGTTGATCTTCCTAAAGAATATCAACATTTACCACCTGCTCCTGGACCAATCTCATTTGTAGTAAATCCTATAAGTGGAAAACAACCAAGACATCGATTTACTATTATACTGGATCCTATTTCTCAAAAGTCTCAATTACTTGTATCCCTTTGTGATTACATTGTTCATTCTCCCATTGATGCTTCCTGTACTGTTTATTTAAATCCTTCTCAACATTCTGGAAAACCGATGCGAAATTTTTACCAGTTTGTTGGTGATGTAAATGTAAACTTTGATAATACAGGACGAGTTATTCCACCAGCTGCAATTTTTCGTCGTTTACCATCAAAACATCTATTAACGCTTGGAGTGGTAGAACCAGAAGGATGGACAGTATTTCCCATGAAAGCTCAATATGATCTTGATAATATTATTCTTTCCTCATTACCACAGGCTTCACAGTATCTTTATGCCATCTATCGTATTAACTCTATTCTTATTACGGGTAGTGCTAAAGAGTCTGGAGGCTCTACACCACCTCGTGGTTTACCACTTTTGATTCGTTCCTTAAGAAATAATACTAATACGAATCGTAATAGTGTTAATAGTGCTAATAGTAATAGTGGTAGTCTTACTCGTGATACACTTGTGATGGCTAATTTGGGTTATTTTCAACTTCAGAGTACACCAGGTGTTTGGTATCTTACTGTACAACCTGGAGCTTTTGCGAAATCCTTTTACATTTCTAAAGTTAAAGGAGTTCGAACAAATTATGTAGAAAAGATAGAGTATAATGGTGTGTTTAACTTTTCAAAAGGACAAAGTATCCCAATTGTTGTTTCTTCTTTTACTGGAGAATTTATAAAACTAGAAGTTGCTAAAGTCCCAGGAGAGGGAAATGTACAGATTGGAGATCTCGTAGAAGCATCTGCAATTCATATGGAATGGCCACCGCGTGGTCCTCAAAAAACACGACCGGTACGACCAACATTAAATATCTTTTCTGTAGCTTCCGGTCATCTCTATGAACGTTTTCTACGAATGATGATTCACAGTGTAATGAAGACTTCTTCAGATGTACATGGTGCTAATACAACACGAATAAAGTTTTGGCTTATTGAGAATTTCCTTTCTCCACAGTTTAAAGAATTGGTACCATTATTAGCTGAACATTATGGATTTGATGTGGGATTTGTTACTTATCGTTGGCCATGGTGGTTAAATAAACAAACAGAAAAACAACGTACCATTTGGGCATATAAAATTCTCTTTTTGGATGTTCTTTTTCCTTTAGAAGTGGAACGTATTATATTTGTAGATGCAGATCAAACTGTACAGGCAGACTTGCATGAATTGTATAATATGAATATTGGTAATGCCCCAACAGCGTATACACCATTCTGTAGAAAACATCCAAATGAAGCTACTAAAAATTTTCGTTTCTGGGATCAAGGATTTTGGTTAAGACATTTAAATGGAAAACCATATCATATTAGTGCTATTTATCTCGTAGATGTGCGTCGCTTACGTGCGATTGCTGGTGGTGATAAATACCGTTTAATGTACAGTCAACTTAGTCGTGATCCCAACAGTCTTGCCAATCTTGATCAGGATTTGCCTAACTTTATGCAGGAAGAAGTACCTATTTACTCTTTGCCGGAGGAATGGCTTTGGTGTGAGACCTGGTGTGGTGCCGAGAGTAAGGCACAGGCAAAGACAATTGATCTCTGTAATAATCCACTCACAAAGATACCAAAGCTGGAGAATGCAAAACTTATTATTAAAGGATGGGAGGAGATGGATGCGGAGTTAGAGACACTATCGGAGAAATTACGACAAGAGCACCATGCAAAGCAGCAGAGGAAATGATGAATTTTAAAAAAAAGAAATAAATAAAAAAAAAAAACAAAATGGATGGAAGAAGCCAAAGGATATCATTAAATAATAGTAATAATAATAATAATAATAATAATAATAATAAAAGAAGAGGTGTTGTTAGTAGTGAGGTGGAAGCCAATATGTAGAAGACTTATTGAAGATAAAGAGAGAGTATTTTTCTCTGCATCTAATGTGACTCTTTTGGGCTTTATTTTTGTTTATTTTTGGTGGGAGACTGATCAAGTTATTCCATACATATGAAAAGAATTATCAACCCTAGCCGATAAAACGATGGGATCAACAATACTATTCTCCCATTTGCAATTACTTGGTTATGATAACCAATATTTCCCTTTTTGTTTCTATCTCTTTCCATGTATACATTTATCTAAATTCTTACTTTCTTCTTATTTCTTTTTTCTTTTTTTTTCTTTTCATTGTAGCGGGTTCCAGTTATAGACGTATCTTGAGGTGGTAGAAGATAAAAGGAATAAAAGAGAGGCGATCAGGGCATACTGTGACATAGGCGATATTAATTTTTTTTTTTCTTCTCCTTGGTTTTTTTTTGTTTGTTTTTAATTTATTTAAATCAGCAAATAAGAACGAGGAAAGAAAAAAAGAAAAAGAAATAAAATAAAATAAGAATAATAAAATAAAACAAATATATATATATATATAATCCAAAGGGGACTCTTTTATTTCCCCTTTTAAAATATATAAAACCCTCTGTTGCTTGTGGAATACATTATCATTATTTATTTTTATTCTCTTTCTCATTCATTCATTCAATCAATCATTCATGCCAACTGCCATCTCTGGTGATCCAACCGTGAATGCATGGACGGATGCCAAGAGTGCCAGCATCAATTGGGAAGATCCGGACGATGTTCTCAGCAACGACTGGACATTTCTGCGTATTGTGGAATTTCACCCCGCCCTTGCAGAATACGCCAACACACATCCAAATGAAAAAGAAAATTGGCAGACAATCTTCATGGACCCGCAGTGCACAGAAGAGCGTATAAAGGCATTGCAGTTGTGGTTAAAAAAAGGGTTACTTTCCCTTCGTGAGGATCGATGGTGTCGACATTGTGGTCAACAAGGACACACAAGACGTCAATGTAAACAACTACATTCATCTGTAGAGAATGAGAATGAAAATGAAAATGAGATAATAACAGGAACAACAACAACAACAGGAACAGGAATAGGGCAGACAAAACCAATAAGTCGTGTAATGTCTCGTTTTGCTGCCCATCAGGCAGAAATTGAGCGTTGTAAACTTCTTCAAGAGAAACATTGGAATGATACTCGTAATGCTCCTCAAGTAAGAAGAAATCATTCCTATGGACCTTCTAAACGTGGAGGTGTTGGGGATCCCAATAGTAATAATGATCAAACAGGACGTCCAAAGACAAAGAAGGAACTCACTCTCTTCGCAGAAGAAAGACGTCGAGGAACTGTAGGGCGTATTGATACTCAATATGGAATTGGATTTGTTCGTGTAGCGGATGTTGGGGATGTGAAGTTTTTTATGGATCGTGTGGATTACGGAATAAAAGAAATTGCTCTTGGGGATGCGGTAACACTAAAGATTGATCAAAGTAGAGATTACCCACTCGCTGTGGATATTAGACCTGAAAAACCAAATATTACTTTAGAGGATGTTCATAAATTTCTTCAACGATGCAAAACCACAACACAACCGATAAAAATTATTAAAACAATCATGACTCACACATATGAATGGCCAGTGTTGCTTGGACTCTTGCGTGAGATGACGAATACCGCTTTTGTGGATGGAGTACATACAATTGTAGAATTAACCACTTTTGTTGGGAATAGAGAACCTATTCATATTCCTTTATTGGAATCTTTTCTTTCCATGATGTTACGATCATCTAATAAGGAAACAGTCCCTCCATTCTTTCCACAAATGGTATTAGATGCCCTTACAATGGGTAATAAAACCGAACAACCAGAAGAAATTTCCATGATGGTAGAACGATGGATTGAAGTTGTAAATCTTGTTATACTTCTTCGTCAATATGCTAATGCTAAAAATGAAGTAACGGATGAAGTTCAATCTAAACTTATTTCATTATTAACGGAATACTTAAATTCTACTGTTTCTATACCAACAGCAGCAAGTAAAAAGAAAGTAGAAACAGCACTTAAAAGATTACAAAGTCCATCTGAAAATAAAACATTAACGCATATTATTCCATCTGCTGATGAATTTAGTGTTCCTCCACCAGATCCTCAATCACCATTTAGTCCACAAAATCTTCCTATTAATGGTAAGACAGAATATAATTCTACAGATAATTTTATTACAGATCATTGTCGTTTACTTCGTGCGGATACTTTTGAAATGGTAAGTCGTCTTCTACCAGCTATGTGTTTTCAACTTCCTCATTATACACCTTCTAAGGAAACAGAAGCGGAAATACCTCATATACGATTATATGATGGTGTTAGATTTATGGGTCGTGTCTTAACACGTGATAGAGATTATGCCTCACCTGATAGTTATATATTGCAAGTACATCCAAAGAATGCTTTGGCAAATCCTCCATCTCAACTTCTTCCTGGAACGACTGTTTGTATTACCACAGGTCTTGATCGTACCGTTATGAATGCAAATGAAATGTTTTGGGGAATAATAACATCGTGTAATATAAATCTTTTAGCTGGAAATATGATTGTTTTAACACCATGTGAATCTAGTACTAGTTTTGATATTCTAGCAGAACATTTACAACGGAATGAAGAATTAGGTAAAACAGATCATTCTTGTATCTTAGTAACGAATATATTTATGGCAGGATATAAAAGTATTATGAAAGCACTTAGTGCCTTTGTAGGTCCTCTTGCTATGCCACTTCCTATGTCCTCTATCTTAGTAAATGAAGAAGCTGCTGCGAATGCTGTACAAGTAGGAAATTGGAAACCTAGAAATCCTGATGATCTTGTTTCTTATATACCACCTTATTGTGAATTTGCCTTTATGGATTTAATTGATGGTGTAAGAGATCGTTTTTCGCTTGATAAAGGACAAGAAGAAGTTATGCGTTGTCTTCCTACTTCTGAAATTCTTCTTGTTCAAGGTCCACCTGGAACAGGGAAATCTTTTATTGGATGTCGGGTAGTGGAAGTGTATGTACGGTATAAACAACTTGTAGCCTCTGGAGATATTCTTCGTACGATTGATGTAGATCAACTTCGTTCAACATCACCAGATGATATGTTACCAACAGTTGGACCTATTGTTATCATTACATATAAAAATCATGCTCTTGATGAATTTCTTATTGATCTTTTAAAGAGTAAACTATGGGATGATGAAAGACCTCGAATTGCTCAACTTCTTCTTGGTAATGGTTCTAATGCGGGTAAATCAGAATTTTTTCCACGAGCTAAACGTATTGTACGTATTGGTGGTAGATCACGTGAGGCTGCACTTGATCCATATAATCTTAGTTCCCTTATACGTGCAAAAAGTGATAAACCTGTTCTTAATAGTTTAAAAGAACGTTTATTTCTTATGAATCAAAGATTAGAACGATTATTAAAAGAAATTCATTATTTAGAGTCTGGACGTGTACCAAAGTCTCTTTTTGAACGATGGTTAACAGAAGAACAACGTAAACATATTCGCTATGAAGATCGTGATGATTGGTTACAAGGAAAACAGTATGTTGGTGCTAATGCTCGTACAGTGGAACGAACATTATTTCTGGATATTTTACGAACTCATATGTCTGTTGCTTTAGAAAAGGCAGAAACTTCTTCTTCTGATCCCACCGCTGCTGTTGCTGCTGTTGATATCGCTAAAAAAGCTCAAGTAGATGAAGATGGTGGAGCTCCTCTTAGTGTATTTCAAGAAATGAGACGTGAAGAAGAAACCCGTGATTTTAACGATGCCTTACATACTATATATCTCTCTGCAGAGGCTATGCATTTAGCCAAAAATCCACCTTCACGACCAGAAGGTGTACCAAAGGAATTACTTTCACTTTGGAGTCTTGAACCTCAACTTCGTCATGAGTATTATGCCTATTTAATTCGTGAATGTATATCTACAAAGGCTAGAGATTGTTTATTAATTATGGATGCTATTATGAATGTGGTGACTATTCGTAATCATGCGATGGATGAATTAAAACTTGAATTACTTCGTGGAGCCGATGTTGTTGGTCTCACTACAACTGGATGTGCAACGAATCAAAATTTATTACGTTCTCTTCGGCCAAGTGTACTTGTTGTGGAAGAGGCGGCTGAAGTATTGGAGTCCCAGTTACTTGCCTGTATGACAGATTCTCTTCAGCAAGTGGTACTTATTGGAGATCATTATCAACTACAACCCAAGGTAGAGACCTTTCTTTATGAGAAAGTTAATAAATTAAATATGTCTCTCTTTGAACGTTTAGCTTCACGTATTAAACCTATTGGTTTAACAGAACAAAGACGTATGCATCCTACTATTTCTCGTATGGTTCGTCCATTCTATGAATCGCAGGTGTTATTAGATAATGAACATCTCCCTACTAGACCATTTGTCTCTGCGATGGGTGAGAAGTACACAGACGGAGTTCCTGGATTGGCAAAGCGGGTGTTCTTCTGGCGGCATAATCGTCCAGAAGAGGAGGCGCCTGGAAGTCGTAGTAAAGTAAACTTGAAGGAGGTGGATATGGTAGTGAATATGATCACTCATCTCACCAGTGAGGGTGTTCATCAGAAGTCTATTACGGTCATTACACCTTATCTTGGTCAGTGTCGAATGCTGCGAACAACACTGCGTTTACGGGCTTTTAGTGATGTTGCTGTGAGTACGGTGGATCTTTTTCAGGGTGATGAAAATGATGTTATCATTCTTTCCTTGGTTCGTACAGAGAAATTGACAGAGTTCTTAAGAATGCGAAACCGTATGATTGTTTGTTGTAGCCGAGCACGTTTTGCAATGGTGATCGTTGGAAATGATGTTCTTTTACAACAATCTAATCATTGGAAACAAGTTTTGGATTTACTGCAGGAAGACGATTGTGTGGGAGATCGTCTCCCTATTACCCGCCGTAATTCATCAGAGACAATTGAATGGATGGAAGCTTAATATTGGAACTAGATGATAATAATAACAATAATAATGCATTATTATTATTATTATTATTAATTTTGAATGTGGATGGATTCTCTTGTGTGTGTATGTGTGTAAAGAGAAAGAGAAAAATAAGAGAAAATATGCAATGATGATAATGGAGGTGGTGGTGGCGGTAGTGGTACATTTTGCTCTGTTTTTGGCAAAATAATGATTTCCACGAGGAAGTTTATATACGTATTTAATAATACTAATAATATTCATAATGATAATACTAGTAATAGTAAAGAGAAAGAATATATATATATATATATAATTAAAAACTAAATGTCTAGTTTATGCTTTAATATATCATTTTCCTCTTTTCTTATTATTTTTTTTTTTTTGTTTCCATACATAAGGTCACTCTGATATTGTTTCAGTAAAACAGAACAAAAAAAAAAACGTCAGAATCTGGTTTTTGTCATTTAAGGTCGATAAGAAAAATAAAAAAATAAAAAAATCCAAGGAATTAAAAGAACGGGAAAATCGTGCAAAGATAATAATAATAATATTAATATTAAAGATTCACACGTAAAAGGTGTGGATTTTATAGCTGTTTCTTTACCAATTTCACTATACATGCAAATTCTCAGAGAAATCTTTGAATATGTCTATTTTATTATACGAAACATTCTGGTGGCTTTAGTTGATCTGTATATCATGTATGCTCGTGTTGGACTTGTTTGGAGACGTCGTCGTCATCGTCCAGCATCTATGGAGCGATTGGATCTTGTTATGCAATTAGCTCCTCAGTCACCTGTGCATAGTCGAATTAGTGCATCCGATATGATTCTTGTTCTTAATGAATCCTTCTTGGATCGTTCCTTGTGGAAAGGTTTAAATACCAGTGGGGCTCAACCTTCCGCTATCGTAACTGGTGTATCCTATGGTGGAATTGGTTTCTACACCGCACTAAATCTCATTCTCTGTGGATTTACTGTACATGGTATTTGCCGCACCCTAAAGTCAATGGATCGTACTGTTCATATGATTCAACGTGCTGTGGAGCGACAGGTAAAATTACATAAAGAGTGGGTGGGAAAGATAGGTCGCCTTATATCACATGTATGTGATTTAAGTGATACTATTGCGGTAAGTAATCTCTGTTCTGCACTCTTGCGAGATCCTAATATTCGGGTATTGGTGTGTAATGCAGGGACTTGTGCCACTCCCCCACATCTCTCATCTCAACGGCTTGAGCAGCAATTTGCCACTCGGCATGTGGGACATAGTTTATTAATGCTTCGTCTACTGCAAGGTAGAATGCAGGAACGGAATCTCCCTTTATCGTTATGGCCATATTGGCGATTTGTAGTTGTTTCCTGTGCCTCCACAGAAGCAATAGATCCCACAGTGGAGAATGTTTTCATGACACACGATGATGAATCCTATTTTAAAGCTACTACCAATAAATATAGTTCTTGTGGTCGTGCAGAAATGTGTAGACTTTTATTTGCTCTTGCATTAAGTCGTTTTATACAAAATAATAATCGTCTTGCCGATTTCTGCACGGTTAATATTATTCATCCTGGTCCTGCACGTAGTCGTGTGATTCCCAATAGTCATTTGCCCTTTTCTGCCCTTCTCGACAGTGAGGCGGCCGCACTTCTCCGCATTTCTCCCGTCGTCTCCGCCCTTTATGTGACGGATCTCTGCCTGAACAAACGTGTGGAGGACACGAATGGACATTATTTCCGCATGGGCGAAGATGAGACGACGGGCTTCGCGGATCTGCAGAAAAGTGGCGGGGCGCGATTGGGCCGGTGGGTGAACTCACCGCTTTTCCGCGGGATGCCGCAGCCGGCGCTGTCGCTCTCCACACGCAAACAGGATGAGTTGTGGCGCCTCACACTCTCATACCTCATCTCGCATGGATTACTGGAGGCGAAGGTATTTCATTGAAGGGGAAGGGGAAGAGAGAAGAAAAAGTGGGAGATCTGAACAATGTAGAATCTGTGATAATAAGAAGGAATGAAAAGGCAAGAGAGAAAGAAGAAGAAGAAGAAAAAGAAAAAGAAATGAAAGAAAAAAAAAAAAAAAACTTGTAAAGTATCCTTTCTATTTCTTTTTTTCCTTTGATGGGTAGAATTGTTTTTTTTTTTCTAGTGTGTCTGTGTATCTCTCTATATATTCCTTATTATCATAATTTGAGTGACTTTTTATGTATTCCCCCTGCATTTCTATATTCTTATCCAACTAGAAAGAAGTGATTCTACAATAAAGACAAGAGAAAACAAAGAAAAAAAAAAAAAAAAAAAAAAAAAAGAAAAAGGAGGGTTAATAAGGTGGTGAAAACTATTTAATCATGACGGATGTAAAAGAACTTCGTCCGCCAACTTTACTGCAGAAGTTAATGTCATTTGTGATACTTACATTAGTGAGCACGACCGTCGGTGTTGCGATGAAGTTAAGTCAAACGGGTGGTACGTATACTTATTCACCTGCCAGTGTTGTTGTACTGACAGAAGTGTATAAACTCATCATCACACTTTTAATTGTCTGGCGTCTTGTCATTACAAGAGAAGAATTATCACATTCTTCTTTTTCATCCTCTTCTTCTTCTTCTTCCTCAGTAATTACTGAAATGATTCATATATTAACAGAGAATGTAACGAAAGATCTTATATGGAGGGAGTTTTTACTATCATTAATGTATACATTTGTGAATATTGTAACGTTTCCCATATTTACATATATGTCTGCTAGTTTGTTCTTTCTTTTAAAAACATCATCACCTGTTGTGACGGCTATTATTCTTCGTTTTGTATCTGATCGACATATTTCTAAAGTTCGTTGGTTTGCTATTATTATGCAGTGTCTAGGCCTTTTAGTGACTCAAGTTAATTTCTGTACGGGTACTACTGCTATTACACCAATGGGATATATTTTAACAGCAGCCAATCTAGCTTCTTCCTGTCTTGCTGGAGTATATAATGAAAAAATTATAAAAACTCAGGCATCTAGTTTAAATGCTCAGAATGCCATATTGTATAGTTTTGGAATTATACTGAATACGATTTTACACTTTGTCGCCCCTCCTGTTCTTTTGGGAATGACAGAGAAACCAGATTTCTTTGAAGGTTACAAACCAAGTACATTTTTTGTTATTATTTCTAATGGATCTGTTGGGTTGGTTATTAGTGCGGTGTATAGATATGCAGATGTTCTTATTAAAACATTTGGAATAGCCGGAAGTACTTCTCTACTCTTTCTGTTTGAATCTATGGGACTTCTTCCAAAAGATAAAAGGACGGCAAGTGTGGGAGTGACTTTTGCTGGTGTTGCGACTATCTTTTATGCGGCGTATGTGTACATTGCACCTGAGCCGCAAGTAATGGAATCTGTGAGAGATAATGATGATGATGATGATAACATGATCGCTGCTCCAGCACTGCGTAGGGCATATACACATTTGTGTGGGATGTTAGTATTGGGAATTACATCTATTGCATTAGTTTTCATGGACTATGGGAATTGTTTTGTATAGTGGGAGAGTCCTACTAGTCTCTCTCTCTCTCTCTCTCTCTCTCTATATATATATATATATATATATATATATATCTTGTTTTGGTGAAAAGGTTTTCTTTTCTTTTTTCTTTTTTTTCCTGTTTTGGGCTAGTGATAAGACGAGTCTGTAATGACAAGTGCAAGTTTTCTTTTTTTTTTTTATTATGAGATTTTGGAACGTTACTTAATTCTAATTGAAGTTTTTTTTTCTTTTTTACTTTTATTCTACTTTTTTTTTTTTCTGAGTCTGTCTTTTGCTTTGACTAGGGTATTATATTTAATGGGATATACTTATCATTTATTGTTATGTTATTATTATTATTATTATTATTATTATCTCTTTGTCTATATATATATTTCCTTTTTATGTATTTCTTATCACATCTATCATTCTATTCTATTCTCTTTACTTTACTTTTTATTCTCTATTCTACATAAACCGTATATATTCTTATCTAGTACGTACATGGGTGTTGCCTTCACCCTCTACACTGTGTTCTCTCTCTCACGCACAAGGGCGTGAATCATACATACATTCAGATATACATATATATACAGATACACAATTACACGTATAAATACATTGAAAGAAAAGGCAAGAAAGAGAAAAGGAAGAGGAGGAAAACAAATAAATCACTGTAAAGAAAGAAGGAACAAGTAGGTAAATAAGATATATATATATATATTATGTCTTTAGGTGCGGAGGCCAAGTTCACACGCGGTGTGAGTGGTCTCACCGGGCGTGAGGTGCGACTCATACGTGTAGGCAAAAGTATCACTTCACCATTTCGTCAGATTGCAGATGCGATTCAGGCATCAAAGCCAAATGACCGCATTGAGATTGAGAGTGGAAAATATTTTGAAACTATTACAATTCAACACCCATTAGAATTGTGTAGTGCAAAAGATGGAGAACCACCTGTGATTATATCCCGTGGACCATGTTTAACCATTAGAACCGATGGACCTGTCCTTATTCAGCGTTTAACTATTTTAGCAAAAGGTAGTAAAGCCTCTGAAAGTCAAGGTGTATTGATTGAACAAGGATCACCTATTATTCGTAATTGTGAGATATCTTCTCTTTATGTTACGAATGATGCATCTCCACAGGTATCGCATTGTCAAATTCAAAATTCAGATCATGGTTTTGGTTTATCTATTACTGGAAATAGTAGTGGAATTTATGAAAATAATGATATTAGTTATCATAACGCTGGTTGTGTACATATTAATACAAGTGGGAAACCAGATTTACATTCCAATCGTATTACACAAAAACATGATCAATGTTCTTCAGCTGTATTTATAAGTGGAAGATTATTAACTGTATGTGAACCTTGTTTTCGAGAAAACATTATTAGAGGCGGTGGAGGGACTTCCGCTCAGGATGAAATGGATCCCGCATCTGTACATTCCCCTCAAATGTTAGCTGAAACTAATGCAAATGGATGGACAGGTCTTGTTTGTGTGATGGATGGAGCTGTACCTTTTCTTATGGGAAATTTACTTTGTAATGGTATTGGTGGATTTTACTTTAAAAATTGTAATATTCCACCAGATCATTTTCGTGGAAACCGTATTGTAAATTGTGTAGGATGGGGTATTATAGTTGCGGAGGAAGCCTTATTATGTGTTCAGGGAAATGATATTCTATCTTGTGGTGGTGGTATTCATGTTTATACGAATAGTAGTAGTAATAGTAATAGTAATAGTAATAGTAATAATAATCTTAAAAATAGTGGTCATTCTTCTAATGGAGGAAATTCATCATCATCATCATCTTCTTCTTCTAGAGTCACATTACTTAAATGTGATTTGAAAAAGAATGTTCATTATGGTGTCTTGATTGATCACTCCGTTGTTACTATGAATGAGTGTAATATATCTGAAAGTTCTATTGGTGTTGCCTTATTTGGAAATTGTGCAGATTGTATCATTTCAAAAAATGTATTAACCAATAACACACTCGCTGATTTCTCTATTACACGTCATGGTGTTGCTACTATTGAAAATAACATTATTTCTGGTTCTCATGGAAATAGTACATATGGTATTATGGTCCAAAATAGTTCTCATCTCACGCTTCTTTCAAATGTGATTGTGGGAAAAGCGACGAGTGTTTATATTCGTGGTGGAAGTTCTCTAGTGGCTGAAAAGAATGCCCTGCGAGAGTCCTCTGTACATCACGTGGTGCTTGTAGAGAGTAGTAAAGCCACATTGAAAGAAAATACATTGGAAAGTACGGCGTGTGCGACGGTAGTGGTAACAGAGAAAAGTGAATGTACCGCCCGTGGTAATGTTATGTATTCTAGTCTTAAAGAAGGTATATTGGTGGAAAAAGGGGGTAAAGCGAATTTAGAACGAAACAGTATGAGTTCTATGGAGGAAACAATTTATGTGAAATCAGGAGGATATGTATATGTAGAAGAAAATGATGTCACCCTTGGTTATCATGGAATTGTAGTAGAAGGAGAGGGAAGTAATTGTATGGTGATGAATAATCGTTTTTGTAATATGCGGGCAACGGCGGTATATGCACTTGAACAAGCCACTGTTACGATAAAGGGAAACTCTCTCACTGGGATCGCAATAGTTGGTATTCAAGTAGGTTTAAGCGCTAAAGCCCTTGTGGAAAACAATACAGTTAAAAAATGTAAAGGAGGGGCTATACATATAGATGGTCTTGGAACAGAATGTCAAGTACTTCAATGTCGAATGGAAAGTGTGGAATACGGTATACGGTGTTCAAGAGGATGTTCTGCTGTTATTCAAGGAAATCAAATACGTTTTTGTAAAAGTTTTGGTGTATCATGTGAATTAAGTGAATCTGTAACCGTTTATGAAAATAATATATTCGGTGCAGATAATGGTATAATACTTTCTGGTGGTGGTGGTGATTTTCATGATAATCATATTGAAGAATGTGAAGTGGGTATATTAGCCGCTGCAGATGCCTTTGCTATGGTGAAAGATCATAAGATTTTAAACTGTACTGTTGGTTTATTACTTCAAATGGGTACTTATATCCGTTTTAGTCATAATAGTATTCAAAAATCTAAACAGTTTGGTGTGATGGTACAAGGTCCTTCTGTAGATGTACATATACGTGAAGTTACTATTGAAGAATCTGGTATAGCTGGTGTATATGTACGTGCAGGAGGAGCTTGTTCATTTATACAGTGTATATTAGAGAATACGAAAGAGAATGCGATTCAACTAGAAGAAGCAGGTAATGTAGTATTTAAACAGTGTATGATGAATCATCAACGCTGCGGTGTGCTGGTGATGAGTACAGAAACACAAGCTGAACTCCCACAACTTGTAAATTGTACGATTGATGGTAATAATTGTGAAGAAGGTGTTGTTTGTCATCGTAATGGTATGATTCGCTTAGAACTCTGCAAGATTCGTGCCTGTTGTAAACAAAAAGGAAGTGGTATTGTTATTCATGATGGGGCTGGTATAGTGTTATCTCATTGCGATATTATTGAATGTTCACATGTTGGGATGATGGCCGCTCCCACCTCACATGTATTGGCAGAACACACCACTATTCATGCATGTAAAATGGGAATTATGTTCACATCACCAAATGAAAATGAATCCCATAGTCAGAATTGTAAAGAATCCACTGTGAACAGTAAAACGAACACTCATAGTAACAATAGTAGTCATAGTCATAGTTATAATACTACGCAACAAAAGGTTTTTCCGAGATATACACAAATGATGATCAAGGATTGCACAGAAGCTGGTATTTACTATGAACCTCATAGTTGTGGTATGATAAGCTACACAACGGTAGAAAAATGCCGCACAGGTGTATTGGTGGAGTCTGAGAGTTGTATGGTTTTGCAGACAACGGTAATAATTGCATCTACAGATTGTGGAATTGTTCTTTGTGGTCAACTTGCAAAAGATTCTGAACTCAGTGATCTTACTATTAGTGATTCAGTTAATTATGGTTTGAAAGTTACTGAGAGTGATTTCCATGATAATAACAACTTGAATACTAATACAGATAATGAGACATTTATTACGATTGAAAGTACAGAAATCACACGAAATGGAAAAGGTGGCGTATTATTACTCTTTCCACGTGTATCTCTAGAGAGATGTACTATTAGCCAAAACACCGCAGCCGGTATGGTGTGTAAAGGAAATGGTCAACCACGATTGAAAAAGTGTCACTTTGAGCATAATAAAGAGTTTAACCTTGAAATACAATCTGGAAGTGTACCTGATATTCAAGATTGTGTTTTCGAACATGCTCCTATTGGAGTACGGGTGGAATCCGCTGTTCATATGAAACGGTGTATTGTTCAACAACTTGATGTAGGCGTTGTGTTTAATATCTCTGATCCATCTAGTGTGTCTTCCACAATATTGGAGTGTGCTTTTGCAAATAATAGTACAGGCCTTTCATCCGCTGGTGAGATTTCTTCTTCTTCTTCTGATGGTTCTACTGATGGTTCTCTTTCTATTCTTATGGAGAAATGTGTATTTAACGATAATTCTGGTGTAAGTGTTTCTCTTGAAAAGGGACCACAAGTGCAGGTAAGAGCATGTAGGTTTGAATCTTCAACAGATGCGATAAAAGTATTAGATGAGGCAGAAACCGTTATTGATAGATGTAATTTTAATGGAAATTCAAAAGCTATCAGTACATTAAGTGCGAAACGTGTAGAAATAAAGAAATGCCAATTTATCAAACAGATTAAATTTTCAGTAAATATCATGGGAAACTACGGTGAAGCCAGGATATTAGACAATAATTTTAGTGGAAGTGGTCAACATGGTATATTCCTTTCCTCTGAGGGAATTGTTGTATTGGTAAGTGATAACACATTTGAAGGAGAATTTTGTGGTATGTTTATACAGGATACTCCACAAATTCGTGTGTATAATAACCGTTTTCTTTCTTGTCAAACAGGTATGGTGTTAAGTGGCTCAGAAAGTTCTGGACGTATTTTCAGTAATGTATTTGATAAAAATAAGATTGCATGTCGTTGTGAACAAGAGTCTTCTCCACAAATATGGCGAAATGCTTTTGAGGCAAGTAGTAACTATGGTATTTTATCTATTACAGGAGCAAAACCTATTGTAGTAGATAATATATTTGATAAAAATTCAGAATCTGGAAGTGCTAGTGTTTGTGTTCGTAATGGTGGAGTAGGTCATTTTGCCCTTAATCGATATACGAATAATGCATGTGCTTTATGTTTAGAAGATACAGGTGAAACTGTACTTGTTAATAATAGTATGTTTCTTGGAAATACTCTGGGTATACAAATAAAAGAAGGAGCCGCTGTTAATACTATTGGATGTACATTTGCTGAAAGTATTTCTGGAGATATTCAAGCATTTGGACGTATTGAACAGGGACGATGTGTCTTTGCATATAATAGTTTCGCTTCAAAAAGATGTAATGCTGTTACTGTAAGTGAATATGCTACTATAATTATGTTTCGATGCCTTTTCTTTGGTGAAGATGGTAAAGGATTTATACAAGGAAATATGGGAACAGGTATGGTAGTGGAATGTTTATTTTATGAACTTCCCTGTGGTGTTCTTATACAGGAAAATGGAAATGGAACTATCATGAATAGTGTATTCATTCGATGTGTAACGGCAGTGGAAGTGTTAGGAGATGCCAATCCACTCTTTTACAATTGTCTCTTTCTTAGTCAACCACATAGTAAATTAGTGGTGCTAAACACATCCTTATCCTCATCCTTATCCTCACCAACATTTCATCTTTGTAATTTTGTGGGAGTATCAAAAATACAATATCCCTTGTTATCTGCAAGTGGTGGTGGATTAGTAGAGAATTCCTCCTTTATAACGGGTGGTACGGCTGTATTGTTAGAGGATGGTTGTACATTGACATTACGCAAAAATATCTTTCTTGCAGGTAATATTGGAATCACAATGAATGAACGCTCTCAAGGAAAGGTGGAGGGAAATAGTTTCTATCGTCATTCAGTGGCAGCAGTGAAAATTATGGAAAATGCGAGTGGAGAATTAACAGGAAACGCCTTTGAACAGCCATTAGAGAATGGTGCTATTCTTGCAGGTCCACATAATGTGATTATAGATGCCTGTAAAGTTCTGGATTCAAGTAAAGACCGCACGGTTAAGAGGACTATAGATGAGAAGAGCACGGAATCTCAATTTATAACAGTTATCCTGGACTATTTAAGAGCCGCCCCATACTGGGTAAGAAGAGGAATGAGTGAGATATCCTCTACTTCACTTCTACCAGAGTCTATATTAGCTGTGATGTGTGCAAAGAAAGAAGAAGAAGAGGAAGAAAAGAGGACGGAACCTGGAGAAGAAGAAGAAGAGAAAGAACAAAAGACGGCAGAACAGGAAAAGGAAGAGGAAGAAAAGAAAAAAGAGAAAGATAAATCCAAGGCAAAGGCGGTTGAAGGAATAAGAGAGGATAAGAATATTTCAAATAAAAAGGAACTACAAAAACAAGATCGTGGAGGTAAAAAGAAATCTAATAAAGGTGCTCAAAAAAGGAAACTCGTAGAAGAGTTTTCCTTTGTTCCAAGTGACTGTATTAATAGTATACCGAAAAATGTTCAGGATACTTTATTGGCTTGGGTCAATCATCAAGGTATTACATTAAGTGTGGAAAAACCAAAACGTTCTTCAATCCCAGATAGAAGAAATCTCTCCATTAGTATAGGAATGCTAAAGGATGTGGATGATCAAGTAACTGCGGTAGCACAATTTAAACGAGATAGAGAGCGTGGTATGACTACGGTTGGTAATGAAACCGATAAGGTACGGGGTGCCAACACAAAGCATCACAAACTTAAGAAGGATGAAAAGGAACCAGTGGTTTCTACACATAATGTATCTCAAGAAGGAACGGAAAAACTTTCCACCATAGATACATTGCAAGATTCTCTCCCATCTCCACCTACTAGTATTGGTGAAGGTGCTTCTACTACTGTTCTTCCTGTTCCTATTGCTGCTACTGCTACTACTACTACTACTACTACTACTACTACTGCTATTACTAGTAAGACTAATAAAACGAGACAATCTTCACGACGTACTGTAAAAAGTGGAGAACAGAAGTGTTCACGTGCTGCTAAACACACAGCGCGGAAACGGCGTCGATTTCTCCCACCACCTCTACGAAGTACAGCTGAGAATGCACAACCGAGAAAACCTCCACATAGAGGTCCATTATCAACGATTGCGGGTTGTATGTATGCTTGCAGAGCTGAAACTGTTCCGCATCGTAAGCCAAGAAAAAAGATCGTACCGAGATCTACTTCTATTTCAATGGTGGGAGAATCAGGAATAATGGATTTTAGTGTTCCAGGTGGATCATACTCGATGTTATTGGACGCGGAGGAATCAGCTATTCGTAGTGAAAAGGCGAATGCTTCCAGAAGCGGATACAGCAATATATCTAAAAGCAGTTATCGATTATCTTTTGGAAGTTTATCTTTAGAAAGAAGAATACGTAGCCGTGGCAGTAGTAAACTTGGTTCTTCAATTTTATTTGAGGCAAAAGAAGGGAATATAAGTCATGCTGAAAGTAGTGGTCAATTGAAATCAGGGGATTCCCCATCTCTTGCTGCTAGTTTACGCGCCTCTCTTCGTGCCGGAAGTTTAGTACAACTGAATGAAATGGATGAAAGTGCACCGATAGAAGGTTCTTCTACTGAAGTTTCCGGAAAGCATGGAGAGTTGCGGGTGGAAAAGCATTTCAAAGGGAAGCGTGATCAGAAAAAAGATAATAATGATGATAATAATGACAGCAGAAGTAGTAGTGGTAGTGGTGATCTTCTTAAAACCATCAATGATGCGGGTGAAACCCAGCCTTGTCGGAGTGGTAGTCAAGGTGTATTAGAGGGGATGGAATTAGATACGGAAAGTGATGATTCAACTGGTGCTGTTAAAAAACGTAGAAAATTTCCCTTTCAAAAGGGTGTACATAAAACAGAAGGTGTTAATGCAAAGAAGGGAATAAATAACCTAAACGATAGTGAAGGTAGTGCCAGTAATTTGGAAATATCACAACTTGGAATAGTGAATGCAGAGTCAGGTTTACCAGGATCTCTAGGTGTTGGCTTAAATGATAATACAGATACTCAGAATTTAGTTGATGGAGCAACAGGTAAAAAACGTTTATCCAAACAATATAAATCAAGTAACCGACATGTTTTAGGTGATAATGATCCTTCAAACTTGTTTTCATCTTTTGATACCTTGCAAACCAGTGACCAGGGAGATGGAACAGATTTGGGAAAATCTCGTCAAGGAAAAGAAGGTGTAAAGTCGATGAAAAAGGTATTAACGCAGGATAAGAAAAATAAAGAAGAATCTCTTTCACCCGCAGACGATATTACTGCCGCTGATCAAACAATAGAGAGTTTAACTTCATCAGTGTCAATGGCTAAGAGAAATAAACGTGAATGTATGACTCGTGCCCCACCAAAGAAAAAAAAAGGAGTAGCTGCACTTTCCAGACAACAAAAAGATAAAACTTTAACGTATTCTGAAAGTGGAAAAGAATTAAGTACTACTTCTTTAGATCATTATAAATCTAAATCATCTGGAGAATCTGTAGAGAGAAAGGGTACACAAGAAGGATATGTGGTATCTATGGCAACTTTATCATCTACTACTTATCCAACTGCAGCATCCTTATCTTCACCATCAAAGAACAAACTTCACGAGAAGCAGCATCAGGGTAAAGAAGAACTATTTAAAGGTACAAAAACTTCTTCAGAGAGTAGTGGTACTGTATATTTGCCCAGATTAACCGCATCATCTCTACCTAGTTCTGTGTTAAGTAGCAGACTAGAAGATAGTAGTGATGCCACAGATGAATTACGCACTATAGCTTTATCTGAAAGAGGATGTGATTTACTTGAGCAACTTCAACAAAATGTACTCCAGACGGACACCGCCTTACAAAAACGTTTGCAAGCCTTACGAGAAGAGGCAAAAGTGCGTAAGAAGGCAAAATCTCCTGAAGCAGCAGCAGCATCAGCATCAGCAAGAGTATCCCCTACATTAAGATCAACACCTGGTGGTTTATCGACTATCGGTAGTTATCGTAGTGTTGATGATACTAGGATTTGGAAAGAAGGAGAAGGAGAAGGAGAAGAGGAAGAAGAAGAAGAAATGGAAGATATTATAGCCTTACTTCGTTGGCTTGCAGATATGCGTCAGAAGAAGTTATTAAGTAATAATCGTTTTAATCTTGCTGTTGAATCCATTCGTGAAAACACGAATGTACCATTTTTCCTTTGTGAAGGCAATAGTGCTGGTGGGGCCCCAACCCTTATTGTGCGATTACCAAAAACAGAGGATGAGGCTGTTGTGATTCCACTCTTAGAGGACACTCCACTGGAGATGGAAACCGTCACTCAACAAATACTGCAGGAGTATGGTGAAAATACCAAAATACAACTCCGTACTCCTTCACCAAATGACACGGCATCTGCTACGCATCATCCATCCATGATGTATAGAAGACCAAGTTTACCCTTACTCTCATATGATGAGAAGAGAAGAAGAAGAAATATGGAACAAGAGACATTAGATACACCTGTTGTTCCTCATAAGAAGAGTGGGAAACCACCATTATATATGGCCTATGCTAAACTACCGCGAGGTCACTTTAATGGTCGTAAAGAACTCCCTGAAGTATTGAAAGCAGCTTTTAAATCTCGACCATGGCAACAGGCATCTCTACATTATCCTGTTATTCAAGATTCAAATGATACACAAGCTGCACACCCATATGGTACATCCACAACGTTGGCACTGCATGGCAATGGAAAAGATACAAATTCTCTTCTTACTTTAAGTAAAGCTCTACGTCATCCAGAACAATTATTACCGTTTAATCCTGCAAATCCACAGGCATCATCTCCCTATAACAAATCACCTGGAGTAGCAGCTTATATAGCCACTGGAACGAAAAATTTTATGGTGTAAATTATTTGAATACACAGTTTTTGTTATTGTTGTAATTGTAATTGTTATTGTTATTGTTATTATTTACGCTTATATTTCCCTCTAACCATTTCACTGTTTGAGTGTGAGTGTGTGTATGTAAAATGTATATGTGCATACTCGTATTACGATGTAAAGAAATTTTCTTATTGCTTGTCCTTATAGTCTTCTGTAATGGAAAAACGGATAGGAGACAGAAATCAACACCATTCAAACAGGGTGTAAACATACCTCCTTGTGTTATTTTTCTTTCTTATTACGACTACTTTATGATTGTATCTTCTTTCTTTATCTCTTTTTCTCTTTTTCTCTCGGACTAAAAAGAAACTCACACCACCACACACAACCTTACATACATACATACATACATACATACATACATACATACATACATCTACTCTCTGAAAAAGGAGAGAGTAAGAAGTGTCTCTTTCTGTGTGTGTGTGTAAACGAACTAATGGACGTACTTCAGCTTCTTGCCGTTGCGTACGGTGGAGAGCGGGAGGCGCGATTGGCCGCAACGGCACAACTCGAAGCGGCTCTTAATGGACCGGACGCCGCAACTCATCTCTGCGCACTTCTTCGCGCTGGTGTTGACACAACAATTCCACCCGCTCAAAGTCTTTCCGCCCTCATTTATGCAAAGAACTGCATTGTACACACACTGGATGAGGAGCAGCTCTCCACTATACCAGGAGTATTGGATGAGGTAAAAACACTTCTCTATAATGGTGTTTTTGTGGTTTCAGAGAAGCATCAAAACATCATTTGTGAATGTGTTGCTAATATTATTAGTGCATTTGAATGGAATTATCTTCCACAACTTATGCCAGAAATTACACGTGATAAGGCGAGTGTTTCTGTAGAACACGCCTTAGCCTCATTGCGATTATTATATGTGTATATCAAGAGATTTAAGACACCTCAACTTGAGCCTATGCCACTTAAATTAGAGGTTTGTAGTTGTCTCCTTACAGCACTTCCCTCTTTCTTATCTTACACAGACTTGCGGGTGGATCATATGGTCCTTAAAGCGATGGAGTGTGTTGTTGAGACCGCATTGCAAGTAAAAGAAACTCGAGAAATTCCAGCAACGGCTTTTGATGCATGGTTTCAAGAAATGTCTCAATACCCTGAACGACATTTTGTTTCTGCATGTGAAGCCGCCGCCAATGGATCACAGAAAGTATATGAAACTTATGTACGTTGCCTGAAACGAATTGCGATGATTTCTTTTTCTGTTTTAAATGATGCCACACGAAATAAAAAACCTCCACCGATTGCGAAACGTTTCTTAACAACACATGCGGCCGCTTTCTTTGGTGTATGGAAGCGATGGTTGGAGTATGCGGCCACTTCAAAGGCACGAAGTTTACACCAAAAGGCAGATATGTTCGCTATACGATATATTAAATTATGTACGCTTGACAAAACACTTTATCAACAGTATCTTCTTCCAGAGTTAATGCATGTAGTGGAATCTTTATTCTTTCCTTATTTATGTTTTAACGAAGAAGATGAATCAGCATTTGCAGATGACAGTGATCTTTCAGATTTTGTACAGTACATGATGGAAGAGGGATTTGATCAAGGTGAGATTTCCCAACGACAAGCCGCCTCTAACGCTATATTAGCGATGATTAAAGGTGGAAAAGATTATCATGAAGATTCACTACAAAAAATTATTCAAATCTTAACAGTTGGACTCTCACAGGAAGATAATAATGAAACTTTTCCACGAACTTTTGGATTTCTTCATCTTCTTTCTGTACTTCGAAAACATCTTCGAAAAGTTCCTGAAATTTGGCAAACACAAATGGCACAAGTACTTGTTACTTTTGTAGCCCCACGTGTTCTTCCTACGGTTCCATTTGTTCCTCTACGATGTAAAGCCCTTGTGGTGTGTCAGCGATACTCTAAAGTTCCTATTGCCTCTGAAGAACATTTTGCCTCCTTTACACAATTGATATGTTCTCTTGTTCAAGACAGTAATGCAAGAATTCGTTTAGGGGCTATTGATGCGATGTGTACCTTTTTGGAAATGAAACGGGCATTACCGTATATTCGACCTATTCTTGTACCTTTGGTAGAGGAATGTATTGGATTTCTTAATAGAGTTCAAACTACCTTTGTTCCTACAGCATTACTTTATCTTGTGGAACACTTTGCACCAGAGTTAACATTTGTTTTAGGAAAGATTGGTAAAACGCTTGTGCAACACTTCCTCGCAACAGCATTTGATTTAGCTCAGCAAGAAGAGGCTATGAATGAAGATAATATTGCCTATTATTCTCGTGCAGATATGAGTGCTTGTGCCATGTTGGATGCCTTGGATACTATTGTACAGGCTTCTAGACATAATATTGAGACTATTAATAATATGAGGTCTGATCTCTTACTCCTTGCAAAGAAGGTATTGGAGTATCCAGATAATTATGAATTTATGGAAAAGACACTTATTATCGTTCTGCATGTTAATAACTTTTCTAAACCTATTCCATCGGATTGTTGGGAAATCTTACCATTATTATTTAATTCCATAGATACTGGTGTTGGTGTGGATTTCTTCGTTGGAATTGAAGAAGTACTTGACAGTTATGTATCTAATGGGACAGTACAATACTTTCAAAATACTGAACTTATGGAAGCAACGTATAAAGCTTGTGAAAAGATGTTATTTAATGCTGTTTGTGGTGTGGAGGATCATATTGCCGTACCACAATTAATTGAAGCTATGTTACATCAAGCAAAACATTGTAAAGAAGTATCTGGTCTCTTTGATCCATATCTTTCCCGTTTTGTATTATTATTACTTCGTGCTTTGGCAGATGAGACGATTCGTCAAAGTGATGTTCGTCTTCAGATTTGGATTGTGGCTGCTATGATGGATGCCTTCTATTATAATGCTGGGGCAACCTTACAAATCATTATGGAGCATAATGCCTATCCACAATTCTTTGATGCTTTCTTTCACTTCTTCCGTGGAGCTATTGGTACACCAGAGACTGTAAAGAAGGGGAAAAAAGGAAAACGTAATAATAAGAATGATAATGCACAGGAAATTGTAGATCATCTCTCTATTCTCACACGTAAAGTTATTGCACTTGGTCTAACCTCACTTCTTGAATACCTTGCTCATCATAGCAATTTGAGTGGTTTTGATGTGTATATGCAACCCACATTAACACTCATTGAATACTGTATCTTCCGCAATGATGCCCTTCTTGAACCACGATGCCGCATTTCAGAAAAGAATATTGCAGAGATTCGCAGTGGTAATGCAGATAATGATGAAGTAGTGGATGTTGACTTTGAGGATGATGATGTACTCGGCATTGATGATGGAGATGATGATGATAATGATGATGATAACATGTGTGATATTGACAGTGAGGACAGTGATACCGATGCTCTTCAGGTAGATGAGGGCGATGATTATGAAAGTCCCATTGATGATGTCTGTGAAGTCTCGCGGTTTCTGCAGTGGGCAGCCGCCGCCCCGTGTCTGGGCAACAACACACAATCATCATCATCTCAACAACAACAACAACAACAACAACAACTGCGGTGTTCACTTCATCACTCATTGGAGGAGTTTCGGGCGGCGGAGGCCACAGCGCTGCGGTACCGTCAACTCGTGCTGGCGTTGGAAGCGGCCATGGAGGATGACTTTAAGGCCCGCTCTTCAGCAGCGGCAGTGAATGGGAATGCTGGTGCGGCTACATCGGTCTCGTCCTATTAAAGAATATGAAAAGAAGGAAAAAAAGAGAGAAAGAGAAAAGTAAAAAAGAAAAAAGAGAGAAAGGAAGAGGAGAGATTATAAATGTTTTTTTTTTGTTTTTTTTTAGATTTGTAAAGGAAAGGAACTAAGCAACGAAAACCAAAAAAAAAAAAAAAGAAAGAAATGAAAGAAGGAAGGAATGAAAGAATTTTCTGAGAAATAGTCGATTTGGGTTAATTGAGTTAAATAAATTATAAATCTAAACTACCAAGTCGCACCGTGTAATAGAAGCATCCAAATACGTAATTAACTGATCTTTTTTTTTTTCTTTCTTTATCCTTCGTGTTTGTGTCTGTGTGTGAGTGTGTGTCCATAAGTATTTGCTGTTTTTTGGCTATCTACTATCACACTTTTTTTTTTTTTGTTTTGTTTTTTGCTTACGACTGCTCTTTTTATTATTACTATTTATTGCATTTCTTTTATTTCTCGTGGTGTTGCTGATGGAAGTTCTATCTTTCTTTTCTCTCCTTCTTCTATTCTCCTAATAAAGAAGTGCGGGCTGAGGAAGACATCGCAACCACAGGCACAAGCACACATATAAAAAAAAATATATATATACAAACAGAAGTAGTAATTTGGATATATTTTAGTCAGGTGCTTTTCTGACCCTTCCAAATCCTTTCGTTCCATTACTTTTGTTTTTGTTCTGTTTGTTTCACTTCTTTTTTGGTTGTAGTGAGCATTGTCGTTGGTGGAGGGAGAAGAAATATACGTCCGGGTGTGTTAAGGCGGACATAAAAGTTTGGCGCTTTGTGTGAGAGTGTGTGTGTGTGTGTATATTATAGTCAATCTTTTGTAGTATTATAGTTTCTGGTCTCTTACGTACATACACTCACGGTCTCTCTCTCTCACACATTTCTGCAAGTTCCTTCAATCGCCGGCGTTGGTGTGGACGGATAACACTCTAGCTGCTGCTGCTGCGTGTTAATTTTATATATTTCTTTTTGTTCTTATTCTCTCGCTTTCTTCACAAGAGAACCTACGGCGTGAAAAGAGAGGGGGAGGGAAACCATAAAGAAAACAGTCAGCGGAGAAGGAATATATATATATATATATATATATATATATATATATATATACAGAGAAAATTCTTGTGTTTTCTTGCTTTTGTGGGGATTGTCTTCTCGTTTGAGATTGTAGAGAAAGAGAAAGAGAAAGAGAGAGAGATGGGAGCCATTGTAGGCAAATGCCGGGATTCAGACAGACCACGATCACTCTCTACGAGTATAACTCTCCGTGCGGGTTCCGTGCATGGTGTTGGCAACAACTCCAATCACACAGCGATGAAACCGTCATCTATGGTCCCTGATTACAATGCGCGTGGGGTGCACTTGAAGAGAAAAACTGTACCAACAGCTGCAACCGCAACAGCCGCACAGGCATCACCAACATCCCCAACAATACCAACAATAACAAGAAATGATGAAATAGTGGAAAGTGAAGTGCGTGTAAAGAAGGTAACGGCACCGGTATCGGTACCTTTAGCAGTCCCACTTAGTAGCTGTCTTGTTGAATCCAAGTACACGGCGAACTCTGGACGAACAATCTCATTAACAATTGATCCACCACAAGAAGTCAAAAAACAGACAAAAAGGGCACAAACGAATGAAGGAGCTCCAGCTATTCCCGTTACGGCATTATCTAGTGATGAAACGTTTGATCTTCAGTCTGATGGAAGTATTGGCTTTGGTAATGATGGACCATCAGCATTTGGTCCCTTACAGAGTGAGAGTGGTATGTTAACATCCAAAAATCCCGAATCTTCTGCGGCTAATGGTAAAGGAACATCCAATCCTAATGATAATGATGATGGAGCTGCGGCTGTCAAAGGTGCTAATTCTCTTATGGAATGTAGTTTTGATTCCAATATACCCATGGGAGATGGACGGAGTAAAAATAGAAGAAGAAGCAGTAATAGTATTAGTATTGGAACTAGCACTGGTGCTGTTGGATTCAAAGGGAATATCTCGCCGTTTCTTCCCTTTTTGGCGGCCCATCAAGCCGATGAAAGAAGTGCGAAGAGTTTTGTGGATTACATCACACAACACGCCCTCTTCTTGCGAGGATCACGTGATGTGACGTGGTTTAATGTGGACTTCACGCGGGCACAACTGCGAAGACGCACACGTGAGGCGATGATTAGTTTTCATCCACTAGAGGAGATTGCATATAATGACTTGGATGTCTCTCAAACAGATGCGGCGGAGGCTTCCACAACGAATATCATCACATCCGCCGCCGCAACACCAAACACAGAATCACTCGGCGTTTCTAAAAGTCAACAACCACCACAGCAACAACAACATCAACAACGGCATAGACAGAGACAGCGACAAGAAGAGGAATCACTCTCTACAGTGAGATCTCGTGTTAGGCCTATTATATCACCTGGTGTACCACATCAGAAGCAGCTGGCGAAGAAAGCTCTAGAGGACAATGTTATCTTTATTCACTCCCGCTCACCAAAGTTTTTTTAGATTCTGGAACTTTTGAAAAGGGTCGTCATTAATACTACTACTATTATTATTATTGTTGTCATTATCACTGTTTTTTTTTTTTTCCTATTGTTTCTGTTATTGCTGAAACTATTGTTATTTCGTATGTATTTATGTTTCTCTGTGTTTTAGTCGGGTGAACACAGAGAGTGAGATAGTGAGAGAGAGATAAAGAGAATGAAAGAGCTGGCGAAGAAAGGATAAAAATAAAAATAATAATAAAAAAAAAAGAGTGGAGAGAAATAGAAAGAAAGGAAGAAAGAAATCTACTGACATATGTGCACATGGTACCTACAAATCAAAGAAAAACAAAAAAAAAAAAGAAAAAAAAATGGGGGGAATGAGAATAATACTAGAAAAAATAATAACTCAGCATCCTTTCTCTATACACCAAGCAAAACGAAGAAAAAAAAAATAATTTCAGAAAAATTTAGTTTTTTTTTTTTTTTTCTTCTTCTTTAGATATATATATATAAATAAATATCTATATTTCCCGTGAGTACTTCTCTCACCTTTTTTTTTCTCCCTTTTTTCAATGCTGCTTTTTTTTTCTGTTGGATCTTCTGTGTTTTTTCTTTTCTTTTTTCTTCGAATGGTCCCTATTTGCTGCTTTCTTTTATTTGAAGATCGTTGTTATCCTTCACATGTGCACACGACTCTCCTTTTCCTCGTTGCGGTGGGTAGCACCATCATACACGCAATTCCCCTCCCCTCATCCAATATGATATGCATGCAATGCGAATACAATATCATTAATATTAATGATATGATTAATTATTATTATTATTATTATTATTATTATTATTATTATTATTATTATTATTATTATTATTATTATT